CCATTTGAACAACATTTTCTATCGTCACTTAACAGTGTTCGATATCTTATGATACAGTTGTGTTGATAGTGGAAGGTCACTTCTGAATGGCACGCTCCGAATGGCTCATGGATTGATGTTTTAAAGTGAATCGAACATAAATCTCACTTGAGCCTCGGTTGTCTCTTGTTATGTCGGCTTAGAGAAGCAAGTAGATGCAACAAACTGAGACTTCCGACTTGTTAATACGAATATCGAACTGATCATCGCTGAGTGACCTGTGTGTTGATACTCAGCTGGGTGTTTCTTTTACGCTGGCTTGTTCCATCTGTAACTACGAACAATCATGGATGGCAGACCAGGTTCTCGGGACCTTTCATCTGTTGCGTTGCCACAATATTCCAAGCTCCAGTATTCCGACAGATAGGCACAACACAATCCCAATAGCAATTAAGAGACACGATATATCAATGCTAGTTCTCGAGCGACAGGTGTGTAGGGAGGAATACGTTCTTGTCTTAATCTTCATCGACGTAAGGAGTTCCCTAAGTCACCAGCGTATAGGTTTCACAGCGACCACGATGAGGTTACCTTGGTCTGGGGACCGCCGGCCTGCTTGGCGACAATGATGTGCTGAATTCTGAGGATAGTCAATACGGCGTCAATGGCCAGTCGTATAGCCCACGACTTGATGCCGCGGTTATCCAGGATGGACTTGGACACTGAAAAGCCCCTTACAGCAACAGATGAATATGAGCAATACTACCAGCATCACAGATTGGGGAGGCACGTCGGTTCGGTGCATCAACATCGACACACATTCGGTTGTTACCAGAAGCATGGGCAGCCTTCAAGCTGAGCAGATGAGGGATATAACAGTGGCTTTCAAGGAGCTGTGCATTACGTTGTGACGGCGTCCATGGCGTTAAGGCCAGCGTTTTCTGCTATGATGTTCGCAACAATCTCGAATGATTCCGCGAATTTCAAAACAGCATATTGCTCGAGACCTGACGAGAACCGACATTGTCATGGAAAAGGCTTACGGGAAGTTCTCACCGGAGCACTCCTGACCAAACTTGGCAATGTCGAGACTTAAAGAGATCTCGCATCCACCACCGCCAACGACGAACCTGCATAGAAGCAATCCGCACAGGTTCTAATCCCAGTGCCTGCACTCACTCTCTCTGTCCCTTCACAGCACAGCATCGGACGACGTTAACTGCATCATCAATAGCGCGTTCAACCTGAGCACCGGTCCATCACTAAAATAGACCATATGCCGCATATTGATAGTACCTCATCCAGGAAGTTGCCAGTGGCACCTCTAAGGACGATCGTAGAGACCTTCGAGTCTGCAGCTCGAACAACAGTAACCTGACAGCTCAATGACCGACCTCAAAAGGTAGACTATGCCTCACCTTAGCACTGGAGATTTCCTCAACATCGATGCTCTCAGCATAGCCGAGCTCATCCGGTAGAGGCGCGCCGAGTCGGACGATACCGGTAGCACCCAAAGTACGGCAGAGACGACGCATTTCGAATTTGGAAGTACCTGTAAATGATGACGATCTTGGAATGAACTCATCAAGAGAGCCCACATTTGATAGCGAGGATATGATGCTTGTTGAGGAAGTGCAGAGCGATGTCTTGAATTGAACCTCCGACAATGACCGCCTCAACGCCGGCGTCCACTAAGCTTAGAACCTACACAAAATACACCATCACTCAATGATCGGTTTACACTGTCATTACAAATTCCTCCATCTTTTTCTCCTCGCCCTTGGCGAAGTCCATCAACTGTTTACCCGACTCGAGCAGAACCGTGCCTTGAGTCTCGGTACCAGTCATCTCTAGACCGCAGCCATATACGGCGACCCTAGCATGAGCCTATAGGGATGACACAATGAGTAATCAGCACCTTGCAGTTCTTCTTATGCTTCTCGA